GCCATGTAGCAGTACAGCATACTCATATATCAGCCTTATCCAAAATATGATCATTTGCAGATTTGTCATCTCAAAATGTCCCTGCATATAAACAATATCGTCAGCATAATTTTTAAAATAAAGTTATGGATAAATTGATATACAATTAATTACAGGCTGAAATTAATTATTTCAGGAATGGGTTTATTCCACTCAATGCATATGATAATTTGTTTTACATTTTTCTTATTATTGATTAAACTAAATAAAGTTAAACAATTGAGTTCCTTAAATTTAATAGAATATTTAAATGGTTTACTTTTTTGGGATCTCTTCTTTTTGCCAGTTTATCCAAAGCATCTACCAAACTGAAAACAACTCCATAAGAATTGCCATCTGTAATAAAAATCTGGAAAGAAATAGGATATACAAACTGTGAGAAAGTATTCTATTTATAACAAAGAGAGGTAAACAGTGGCGACTCTAGGAATCTTGAAGTGGGGAAGCTGATTGGAAGCGGGCCGAAAATGAAGCGGGAAAGGGTGGGGGGGGGAACTCGATAATCAGTTGGGGGCGCTAACTCGCAAAATAAGATGACTTTAGAAGTTTTTTAACAACGCACAACTTGACCATGATTGCGTATCTAACACCCCCTACACGCCACTGCTGCAATAATTTCAGCAAAATAATATTTTGCAGTGTTATTGCAGTGCAATTGTTATAAAACACACTGGTACTGGTACGTCCTTGCGGTTATAAAGCGCAGTTCCTTTCCCTGGTCATTGGGTCCACATGCTAAGTGTTGCTGCTGGTAATCAGCACAGGAACAGGCACCCCCACCAGGTACCCATTTATACTCCTCGGTGGAGAGAAGCAATGCAAATAAAGTGTCTTGCTCAAGGACACAAGCGAAATGCACAGCGAGGGATTGACACCCGTTCCCGCTGCGCCAAACTGTTTCTATAAACACAATATCATACAATCACATCCTTTCAGTACTGCGTGCATAATGATGATAGATTTTCGCAGTAATGCACAAATTAGTGATTGCGTGACTGTATAAGGATTTTTACTGAATGTGCATTAAAAAAAAAAATATATATATATATATAGGGGCCTAGTCTGTATACGCTTTACGATCCATAGTCATAACGCGCGTATAATCGTTCACTTTAAATCTTTGAACTGCTTGTTTATCCTTCATACATTTTTCTTCGATTTTAAAGTCTCTGCTTCCATAAAAATCCACAAGCAAACATGGAAGATTCAGAAATTCAACGTTTTATCGTTTTATAAAATCCAAACGCGAATCTGGTTGAGGAATAAAAAAAGAGGGGGTGGGGCGAAGTGCTACTTACACCCTCCCCCACCTTTTTTGCCACTAATAGTTTACAAGTTAAATGCATATCAATGTTACGAGCTACTCACTTTTGAAACTTTTGTTCCCCCCCCCCCCACCATTTGACAAATTTTAGATTCCACCCCTGGAATCGCCACTTACTCGGTGAGTAATGAAATATTCAAGTTGGCCGGCATAGTCCCATATGCAAGTTACATCACTCGGTTCAGAACTCTTGTTGGCAAGTTTGTCGATGACTTTCTTGCGCATTTCATTAAGTTGATTGGTCGATACGTTCCTTCGAGAGGAGATGCTGTCTCTTATACACATCTAGATGTGTATAAGAGACAGGTTCAGAACTCTTGTTGGCAAGTTTGTCGATGACTTTCTTGCGCATTTCATTAAGTTGATTGGTCGATACTCGCATTTCATGAAGCAGACCGGTAGATTCTCCCGTGTCTTCAGATATAGTTTCTTCTGAAAATAATTTGATAGTTAAATCAACATCGACAAGGGTGACAACACATTTTTTTTAATATAGGCCTATAAAGACATGTTTCGACGTGTCACACATCATCATCAGGTGATAATGCTTAAGCTACTACCGGTTTATATACTACTGGTCAGATGTAAGACAAACACGAAAATATTAAGGCAAGTCATTAGAGACCATGAATACTATGGTAAGTCATGTATATAAGAATTAGAATGAAAGAGCGATATTGTAATGAATTGTTTATTTTTTAATGTAATTTATTGTGGTGATGATGGAAGTTGTATTCATTGTTAAGATGATGATTATGATAATAATAAATGATGATAATGATGGTGATAGTGACGATGATGATGAGGGTGGTGACAACTTTAATTATGATGCTGATAATAATGATGGTTAAAATGTTGAGGATGATATTAATGACAAAGACGATGATGATAATAATGATAAAGATTATGATGATGATGATGATGATAATACTCATAATTCTAATATTATAATCGTGAACATTTTACACATATTATACATATCCAGGAAACAGGAATGCTTTATTTATTTCACAATTCAAAATCAAATAAGCGGTCTAGATTTAACGCAACCAGTAGCGTAATGCCCATGCGTTCTCGTATGGCGGTCCGCAGGGCCCCGACCCCTTGTGGCCCCACTCATATGGTCCTCGATCTTTTGACCAAAAAAGGTTTTATGAATACATAATTAATAGCATAATGTATCTCTGACATCGACTGTATGACATAGGCCTATATCATATGCCTATATAGGCCTATTGTGGAGGATTAAAGGGCGTCCTGTCGGCCCGGAGCCCCAACTAAATTTGTCATTTTTTTTAATGGAGATGAAAATCAAATTATATTACAATTTTAAATCTGTGGCATTTCCCGCCATCCAGAGGTTCCACAATCATAAACGTTATTAGATCAGCCCCAACCAGGGCTGATGTGGTTTACGCTCAATCTCTCAAAGTTTATCCCTGGTCATCTCTATTTAAAATTCCTGGATCCATCACTGATATTATATCATTTTATTCGTCGTTAAAAAAATAGAATAACAAAGTAAACATGAATAAAAAAACGAGAAAATCAAAAATTTCACGATGAAATTACAGAATGAGACCTAAAAAGAACCCAGCGGTGGCTCCAGAAATTTGCCTACAAGGAGTCTGACATGTCTGACGTGGGAACCGAAACAAAGGGGCCGACTATAAGGCCTCGGTGCTAGTCCAAGTTTGGTAGTGTTCACGGGAGAATTTTCAGAGCTTAGCATGGTCCAAATTGTGCTTTTAGACTACAACGATTGGGAATTAAAATAACGTTATTTGCATACCTTAGGCAAATTAAATATTTGTAAATCTTTAATCCAACGACATCGTTGAGACGTCGGACGAAAGGGGGTAGGGCCGACGGGGGAAATTTCCTTCCCCCTCCCCCGTGGCGCCACCACTGTGGTGCCCAGTCTCAGAAAGCCACAGGGCCCCGACGGCATCGTCACGCCACTGAACGCAACAAAAACAATAAATAGAAATGGATCATATGAACTCAAAACTTATACAAAAAACAAACCCAAGTCGAGCAAAACTAGATTAACATTAATAAATATCTACCTTTAAACCGTCTGATAAACACAGGGGATAAAGATGACTTTTTCCTGGGATCAATTTCTGATACAGATGCAGCTGATGTTCCTTCGAGAGGAGATGCGGACGTAGATGGAAATGCTATCCTTCCACGATCAGATGAGGACGTAGAAGCAGTGAAATCGAACGTCTTTGCTACATTCGTAGCGATAGCGTGTTCGCGTATCTGTTTAGTTCGTTCAATCTCTGAAGAATGGCACAGCAATGAGAAGTTATCAAAAAAATATATATATCAAATTGAATTATCAAAAGAGGCCTAAGTATTTATTGTAAATATTTTAAAATGTTCTGAAGGTTGTTAAACGACATTACCGGTGTACATCAAGTTTCTTATTTATAGAATCATACCGTCTCCATCTTTCTGCTCCTCCCATATGCTGTAATCCTCACCGACAGTTTGAAAGACAGTTTTAGTTGTAACAATACCATCGGTTGAGGGCTCTTCCTTATCAAATCTATTATTGAAATTTGCAATGTTATAATAAATATAAAGATAATTGAGTCAATTACAGGATCTATAATTGAATACAGGAAAGTTAATATTTACTTTTTAATATCGAGGAATATTTTTTCTCATTCGAACTTACTTTAAAGTTAATAAAAATTAATTACAAATTCACATGTGAAGAATATAGATATGGAATTAAAGGTTTAATTTAATTATAGCTCATAACAGGCAATGCGTCGTTCGTAGACATACACTTATGATGTCATCATCGGTGTCAAGCATATATATTTATACAGTAGGGCCTAAGACATGTCACACATCAGCTGTCATATAGAAATTGAAACATAGTACTGAGAACAGTACTATCATGGACCTGGATAAGAGGGTAAAGTACTACTAATTGGTATACGGACTATCTGTGTGCAAATCTTCAAGTGAGAAATGATGTTTGCCCTGGCAAAATATTTCGAAACGATCAACATAAAAATTGGTAATGTGCTCAAAAACAAATTTAGGATTAAAAGAAAAAAAATATGCGGAACTCTCATTTACAAAGATAACCATAGTCAATCGGGAAAAATAATGTTTGACCATCAGGCAGGCTGTAAAATTTAAAGGCGTTGTAAAAATAGCGGAACGTACTGGAGGGCATTTATGTGATGGATTGATGATTTTGCCCAGTATTCCACTATGAGCATTGTATTGACGAATTAAAATAACAGCAACCAATAATAATATAATTATAATCAAAAACTCAAAAACAATCTTTTGTGGGA